TTGAATTGATTCCCAATCTAAGAAATCAGGTACACTTCCACCCAAATCAGATTTAAATGAACTGTCATGATCATCATAGGCTTCAAATACCATCTGAAACAGTAATGCAGTATTAAGCATCATATATGTGGAATTCCACCTTGTAGGGACATCTAGACACAGAGAATTCTTAGCTTCCACCCCAATTAGATCAGCTAGTGATTTAAACTTCTGCAACCTAGCAGGTGAGCTCCTCACATACCTAACAGCATCCCTGACTTTCTTAACAGAACTGTCACATTCTTTCAACCCATCCTGTACCACCAAGTTAAGAATGTGAGCAATGCACCTCATGTGCAAATACTTACACCTAACAGCAGTACAACCCCAAGAGCCCAACTTCTTCTTCAAGAATCCTAGGGCAGTATCATTGCTGGAAGCATTATCTACTGTCACACTAAACACTGATTTTAGACCCCAGTCCAAAAGGCAACTCTCTAAAGCCTTTGCAATACTTTCCCCCTTGTGGGAATATATAGGAACAAATGAAATAATCTTCTTTTGCAGCTTCCACTCACTATCAATGAAATGTGCAGTTATGCACATGTAGTTTATTCTCTGGACTGAGGTCCAAGTATCAGTTGTGATACTTACCCTCTGACTGCTAGTCCTAAAAAACTTCTTCAAGTTGACCCTCTCATCAGAAAATATCTTGAAAATGTCCCTACTGATAGTCCATCTTGAAGGGATTTTAAACCTAGGACAGCAAACTAAAACAAACTTTCTAAAACCCTGTCCCTCAACAATCCTAAAAGGAAGTTCATCTAAAATAATCATCTCAACTAAGGCTCTCCTTATCAAGTCTTGATCAAACACCCAAGTACCCAACACCCCTTCAGTTCCTTCACTACTTTGAGTTCCAGCAGAAGAAGGTGCAGGTTGGAATGTGAGTAGGGACTGCCTTGTCTCCTTAGAGTGAGGATTTTTAAGGCAGTTTACCACATGAAGTCTGAGAGAAGAAGTCTCATGTTTCTTGCTCTCACAGCAATACACTTTTGCACAATATATACATTTTCCTTTGATGACAATGCCCTCACTGTCTTTGATCTTTTCAAAGTGATCCCAACATGGAGCCCTGGATTCAACCTCTTTCCTTTTCTTTGGAACAGGTGGAGGCAAAGGCTGCTGAGACTGAGGAGTAACAGTCTCTACAGCAGGTGCTTCCAACTCAGGTTGTGTTCCAGATACACCAGTAACAGTCTCTACACCACTAACACTTTCCATCTAAAAAGGGGAAAGTATCAGTGACACAGAATGGGAAATCACTCATTCAAAATCATCAACAGAGAATGGCCTTTGTCACATACACACATGTATCAATTAAAGTGTTAAACAGGCAGAATTCAGTGAATTGAACATTTCATCATGTATGCAGAATTGCACATAAATGATTTAAGGGTCGCATATCCATAAACTTACAATTTCACATTTTCACAGTTACAACTTACAACTAAGTAACTAACAACTTACAAATTACAATTTACAATGAAATCCATAATCAGGCATTCAAGCTAAGTAGGTGTATGCTACTTTATATGCTCATCATTTATATGGATTTCAGTCACACACTCCCACATTTATATGGATTTCAGTCACACATGAGTACAAGACAGTGGACACACTCCCACATTTATATATGGCTTCCACACAAATACCATCATGCTTAACATTTATATGGATTTCAGTATTTAACACACAGTGGCAACTGGCAAGGGGCTAGGGTAGTATGGCTTCCACCACAGATTAGGTTACAAATTAGAAACCCTAATCAAACAATTCACAAATTCATACTCAAAGAACTACTGACATGCAATCCGGAACTTCTCAACGGATTTACAAGTATCATAGTCCAGTGAGTCCACAGATTAGGTTACAAATTAGAAACCCTAATCAAACTCACAAATTCACACTCAAAGAACTACTGACATGCAATCCGGAACTTCTCAACGGATTTACAAGTATCATAGTCCAGTGAGTCCACATATTTACGTTACAAATTAGAAACCCTAATCACACAATTCACAAATTCAAACTCAAAGGACTAGTGACATGCAATCTGGAACTTCTCAACGGATTTACAAGTATCACAGTCCACATAATCATAAAAATTAGAAACCCTAATCAAGAAGACAAATACACAATAATCTATAACAAAAATGTAAATAGGGTTTAGTAATTACTTCGTTTCTCAGATTTAATCCCTCGAGAACAAAGGGCTTCGAATCCACTATTCCACCGTTCCACAGTTCCACCAGACTCCGGTGACCGGACTAGGGTCTAGGGCTTCCACCGTTCCACCACTCCGCCAGTCGCTACTCCGAGTCTCCGAATAGGGCTTCCACCAGAGTCCAGACTAACAAACAGAGACTAAGACTCTCAGAGTCTTAGAGAGTAAGACACTAAGAGTCTAAGACTCAAAGTCTCAAAGACCAGAGCGAAAGAGAGAACGAGAGTCGAGAGATGAGAGATGAGAGATGAGAGATTGAGAGAAGTCTAGAAGAGTCAAGAGTGAACTGAGAGCTCGGCTGCGCTCAATGAAATGAGTGATATATATACATACACCAAACGACATCGTATTATATAGCGGAAAAAAACCCTAGGGTTTAGTCGGGTAATCGGACGGGTTCGGGTGGCGTTTAATGCCTCCCACCCGAACCCCTTGCATCCGTCTAATAGCGTAGCCTCGGTTCGGGTTGGGTGTTCGGATACGGTTCGCGGCACGGATGCACCCGTCGGGTTTCGGGTCGGTTGGGTGGGTCGGAATTTTCGGATTTTGCACACCCCTAATCTTATGTTCATACTTCTTACAAATTTTACATTGAGTTCTCAAAAAAATAAATAAATAAATTGAAAGAACACGGGTAAAGTTCACTTTAATATTACCAATACTAAGAGCCTAGCTTTAGCATGCTAGAAAATAATAATAATAATAATAATAATAATAATAATAATAATAATAATAATAATAATAATAATAATAATAATAATGTAAGTTTTTGTTTGTTTTTTTTAATGGTTGAAAATTGATGTAGAATTGTATTTAATGAGTGATAATTGATTTGAAAGAAGATGGTTGGGTTAGGATAAAAGAGCCATCATTATTGTGTGGATCATACTATTAAATAATGCACATTCAATACACAAATAAAATATTTATAATATATTAAAAATGTACATTATATTTATAAAACATATATTATTTGAGTGCTGATAGTATATTATTTTACATAATATATTTTCAATACACAAATAAAATATATTTTTTAGTATATTAAAATGTACTTTTAATTATAGTCCGCACAACAATGTTTGAACCATGGTTCAGAGTGGAAAAAGAGCATTTAAGCATAATGTAATTGGAAGAATGAAAGTGAAGAGTCAAAGCGCTAGCAGTCTATTCCCCAATTCGGGATGAGAAGATAGTTAACGTTTCTCATCTTTTGGCCATAATTAAGAGCATATTATACCAAAAATGGACCTATCAAATATCAATGTGGGCTCCCTCATCATATCTTGTCTGTAAGATTCCTTCCTCCATTATTTGGCTCGTGAAAGGGACTTTTTTGTCATTCAGCTCGATGAAACCAACCTCATCACATCAATGCCAACTTCTTTGTCTCTTTTTTAGTGGATTAATATCAATTTTTTTTTAAAAGAAAAATAGCATTTTTTTTTTGGGTGATAACACATGTTTCTAACGTTGTAGATTATATTTTAAACATTATGAACTTGTTCCCAAACTTGTGAGGAGATAAGGTTCATAAGAAGATAAATCAAATCAATTATATTTTGAGTTTCGATACGAATTTGTACATTTTTGCACATAAAAATTTTAACCTAAACTCGAATTTTCAATATTAATAGTAGGAATTGAACCCCACAATATTTATAAAATAAATCTTAAACGAAACTTCTCATCTACTCTCTTGAGCCATATTTGATTCATACTTATATCTCATGTATATACAGTAAAAAAAAAATGTGACACTTATTACGGAGTAGTTAATACAAGCGTCAATTTTATATTCGGAAATAATAAATACAGCAGTGGTTAGCGCCTTAGCGGACAGTGTTTATCCTCGTTTTTGTAGCTTGGATTAGAAGACACTTTAATAAACTAGGAAAGGGAAATTTATTAATTAAATAATAATCCTGAATTATTATTAATATTACAATTAAATTAAGATACTCGAGTAGAATAGGCAATGGATTAGATAAGAGTAATGGAATGATTCCTTACAGCTCATCCCACCACTCAAACACAAGCTGTCAGATAGAGAGAGAGAGAGAGAGAGAAAATTATGGCAATTTATGGTCAAGCATTGCAGGTGGACGGTGGACATAAGCCCTTTCCTTGTGGAAGACAAAAGCCAATATATTTGCTCTCTTCCACTCATCTTTATCCATTCCCACTATTATACTTTTCACTTTCCCATGTTTCTTCTTCTCAAAGAAACATACATCAGATACTGTATATCTTTTAAGTTTAATCACTTATTTTACTCCACACCAACATAAAATAATCTAAATCCATCTCATCATGTTTTTTCCTAAATGACAAGAAAAACTCGTAATGCTACATATGTGAATTTCCAACTCAATAGTGCTACATATAATATATAATTTCGTACTTGTGACAAAAAGATAGAATCGTCTATCCCAAACGCTCACACCTGAACCATCGGATTGTGGAAAAAACATTACTTTTTAAGTGGGGCTGTTATTAGTTTGTATTAGGATTGATAAGTCAATGAAAAGAAAGAAAAAAAAAATTTGGGAGTTATTGGGGTACCTTTTGGAGCATGGAGTCCAATAAGTAATAGTGTATGGACAAAGCACTAAAATGCTGCGGAAGAGAGGCTTTTATAGGAGCAGTTCTAAGGCACCAAAAGAGTGCTAACAGCTTCACCTTTGTTGGGGATTGGGGATTAAAAAAAAAGAAGAGAATCTCAAGAGCAAAGTTCAAAGCAAGATATGTGTAAATATTGTTCCCAGATTCCCGCACAGTGATGTTTCTTCATCTCTCATGGGATGCACATGCATCAACTCTTACTAAAACAGGGTAAGAACAACAACTCAACTCAGACAGAAGGGAAATCTAATCCTGCAAAATTTCACACACACCTCTCTCTCTCTCTCTCTCTTTCTCTCAACATCCATTCATATATATATGTATAATGTATGATATATGATTACAGAGTGAAAATTTTATACTTTATCTGCAAAACTTGTGGACATCTCTATACAGCTTTCACCCCGGGTGTCAGAGCGAGATTTACCCAGCACACACTTATTAGATTATTCGTCACCTTCTTCTTCTTCCTCCATGCTATCATCTTGGTGGTGGAGGGGATCCTGAGGAGAACCAGACTGGGAACTACTCTGTTTCGAGGATTCATGAGACTGGTCATGGGGCATAAATAAGTTGCCTAATACAACAGATTGATTTGCAGAGGTGGCTTGTGAGCCCGGAAGTCTTCGAGTGTGGAGCCTATATTTCTGGATTAACATAAACCTTTTGGTCATCATTCAAATTGAACTCAACAACAAGATAACACTAAACAAAATGTATGCAACTTCAAACATACTTGCAAATGACTCTTCACTTCATCGTTGGTCAGACCATCAACTTGCATAAGCTCTCTAATCTGCTTCGGAGTTGCAACTGGATCAAATCCAACACGAAAATTATTAGAATTAGCACGACTAAAATGAAGTTTCAAGAACTTCAAGAAACTGTTCCACAGTAACACACAAGGCAAATGGACTATTGGCATGCCAAAAGGATTGAAGCCAAAGAACATAGCTTTGGTTCGGTTAACAGATTCTTTATTCTCAATGCACAATTAAAGCCATAAGAGAATCCAAACTCCAGAATATCGAGAAACATATTGTGCACTGAACTAACCTTGTGCACCCCCAAGTTGTTGCAGGGCATTGACGAATCGCTTATGCAACTCCGGTGACCAGCATCTTCTTTGCTTCCGACTAGTTTGCTGCTGTTGAGGCTGTGCTCCAGTCTGTATACTGTGTACACTACTTGATGAAGCGGAAGATACACAAGCTTTTGTATTCAAGCAACCGATTACCATATCTTCCCTGGGGTTCTTAAATCCAGGAGTACCAAGCGAGAGCCCGGGTATTCCTGGTAATTCCTTATCTTCCTTCATCACAACTGCTGATGGAAAACCGGAATACCTCTTGAAAGGCATAAACGCCTTCCCTATATTCCTCGTTTTACAAGAGACGAGTAGGTCGTTGGTTATCGAGCTATTCTCAGCTTCCTCAGTTGTCTAGCAACAAAAAGAAACCAACCACGCAATTCATCAATACAGATTAGCAAGAAACAAACAAGTGGTGAGCATCAAAAGATTGGGATTGAGCAGTGTTTTACCATTCTGAGGTTAGCTTCTGTGCGGGGTTTCTTATTGGTGAACTCTGAACTGGGGGAATGATTTTCACCATGCCAGAGCTGAGCTGAGCTCATCCAATTCATTTTTTCTCTACTGTCTTTATCTTTCCTAATCTCAACCCTATCACCACCACCATCACAACTCTTCTTCAGTGGTATAAATTCTTCTAATACTGGTTCCACCTTTGATTTCCTACACTGCACTGATTCCTCTTTCAAAGCTACAATTGCTGCAATTACAATCCAAAGCCAATGCAAACAAATTAATTTTTATTTCCGGATTATGTTACACCAAATAAACATTGAATTTAGATTTCATTAGAGATACAGAGATTCTAAAAATGTATCGCCATAATCAGAAACAATTCCTGACAAACATATATAGACAGATTGTTAAAATCCAGGCTACTGAAATAAGCATAATCAGAAGGCGAGTGAGAGTTGGCACACACAGCATATACGAGGGCTTACCATCATTAACAAGGAGCATGCAAAGCGGGAGCTCGCGTTTGAAGGCATCGATCTTCCGCATTTCATCCTCGAGCCTGGCGACATAATCATCGATCTTCAACACTCTGTCGGATAAGCTCCCGATCAGGGAGATTTCAGCGAGAAACTCAGTGATCGTTCTGGGAACGAAAACGGGCCTACAATCCAAGCTGAGTTCAGATGGAATCGAACTCATCTTCATCTCCCAGATCCTTTCAGCGCAATCAGATTAATTAGGTCCTTGTATTAAAATCAAAGGCCGAATCACATAGAATAGAAAGATGGAAAATCAGTGAAGATGCGATGCCTTATATATAGAGAGATCTCTTGAGAGAGAGAGAGAGAGAAAAGGAAGAAGGCGAAGATTCTGTTAAAACAACGCCGGGTTTTGACATAGAAGAAAGGAGGGAAGCAGCGATGCACATTGCACATGGAAAAGTCACTCCCGGGTCGTCGCATATTTAATCCAATCCATTTACACTCTTTAACTCGGTTTAGATGCCGATTCCAACTCGCACTTCTATTGGACGGTCTAAATTCTCCCTCCCCCCTTCATTTTTCTCTAACGTTTAAGATTCTATTCTATACCCCTTTCCGTTTTCACTTTTTTTTTTTTTTTTAAAGAAAGATTCCTACTACGAAAATAATTAAAATTTTCTCAAAATACCACACCATCAATTTATAAATAAAAATATAAAACTATAATAACTCATACTAAAATGTCTAAATTCTATATTAGTACTGGTAAGAAAAAAAATTATTATTTTTAAACAACTTCCCACTCAAATTACCTCTCAAGCTATTACTATATAAAATCTAATAATTATTATGGTAAATAATAGCTCAATAAATGTTACAATATATATATATATATATATATATATATATATATATATATATATATATATATATATATATTTGCTCGAATTTAAACAAGGATAAAATCAAAAAACATAATCGATCCAACTCATTTTAGCAATTGCACTATATAATATTCGTTGTTATAATTTATATAATTGTATATCGATCCAAATATTATTGAAATATTATAACAAATCTATTCCGTGCAAATGCATGGGTGAAAATACTAGTTATTTTTTAAAATGTTGATTTAGAAAAACTATTGAAACAATTTTTTTCAAAAACCAGAAAGATTTGTGATTAAATAATTACAGAAAATTTAATTAGAGGTTTAATAATCTTATGGAAATGTTTGATTAAAATAGTTTAACTATACTGTTTTAATATCACATCCAAACCATAACCTTGATATCCCAAAAATTCATTATTTTAATTCTTAAAAATGAAATTCACATCATGTTGTATGACTATAAGAAAATAAAAAGATGAAATTTATAAAATGAGGATTATTATATTATAGTTTCTTTAAAGTATTAATTAGTGATACTTGATATAACTCATATAACCATATAGGGAATGCTGGTTACATTGATATTTTTGGCACTAATGCTACTAATATCTGGATATTTGGTTGTACCTATTGGCTATCAGTAAATAGTGTTGGGCTGTTGGCCAGCATTGTAAGGATTTTATTATTATTTTTATTATTAAATTAAATTATGTGTTGATTATATTTTTTAAATATACTAGTATTTGCACCCGTGCGATGCACGGAATGAATATGTTGTAACATATTAAGAATATATGAATCGATATATAATTATTTAAATTAAAACATCAAATATTATATAGTGCACTTAAAGATATGATTTGAATCGTTTATATATTTTGATGTTATCATTGCTTGAATTTGTGCAAATAATTGCTCAAATTAATAGCTAATGTCTAGATGTACGGATGCGGTCCTATAATTTTGAAGATTTTATTTATCATTGTTTAGTATTTTCATACGTTAGGTAAATGTGCTCGTTCTCTAACAACTCAGTTATAGAAATGAATTGCTATCCATATTCATTTGTATGGAATATATATTTTTTTGTCTAGATATATAGCAATTTTTTCATTTAAAAAAATAATAATATCACTGATTATATTTACACATTATTGAAACCTCTTTGTAGACGACATTGGTAGTGACAACACAATCTTGTTCATCTTCGTCTAGAGCTAACATCTTCTCCATCAGGACGGGTTACTTGGGTGAAAATATATAATGGTAGAATATCACTCAATTAGTTATCCTTTTATATTTTAGTCCATTCGTAATATCAGATTCATTTTCAGCCAATTATTCTTTTTTATTTTCAATCAATTAGAATATCAAATGCAGTGATATTTTTACCTAACTTCCGTTCCATTTTTAATTGATGATGTAGATATTATTATTGAAATATTTCCGTTCAATTTTTAATTTACCTTTACTATTGTTTAAAATATGCATTTACTATTGATAATGTAGAATATTATTATTGGAATATTTTCCTCCAATTTTTAATTTTCGTTCCATTTTTAATTAAAATGCAATGATCTTACCATTTTTTTAGTCAATTATAGATCATTTTTTATTTGCAGTCAATTATTAATATTCATTTCCTTTTATATTTTCAGTCAATTAGTAATATTAGATTCATTTTCAGTTAATTATTCTTTTTTATTTCCAATCAATCAGTCAATTAGAATATAGATGCAGTGATATTTTTACCTAATTTTCGTTCCATTTTAATTTGATGATGTAAAATATTATTAATGAAATATTTTCGTTCCATTTTTTCTTTACTATTTTTTAAAATATGTCTTTACTATTTGATGATGTAAAATATTATTATTAAAATATTTCCTTTCCATTTTTAATTTTCCTTTACTTCAAACCAAAAAAAAAAAAAAAAAAAAAAGACTTTGGATTTCTCAATACTTGCCCACATTAATTTTTTTTTTTTTTTGGTAAACCCAGAGTTTCCACCGTTGGACACAGTGACTAATCCCCTCGCTAAATTGTAAGCACCTATTTTG